TAGCACACAATGATAATAAGGCTAACCCAACTTGAAAATACTTCATTTTAGATGATCGGCACAACTAGAAGTGGAAGAGAAATGAGTTATTTTCACTCATTTATTATCCATAATACTAAAAGTGAATAGTTAACCTTAATGTAGACATCAGGCGACAGTCCACGCGCGTCTAGAGAGTCGCGCTTAACTGACGAAAAACAGTTCTAAAACCATTCTTATTCGGTTCCACATACAAAAAGTTAGGGAGAAAACCAAAATCTTAGATGTTTTAGATGTTGGGCTCTGGAGAACAAGGCCTCTTTCTGAAAGAGTCTTCTCGTTTTTTCAAAAACACTCCATCTTCCACGCTTTTATAAGAACGTATTAATGGGTCCCTTGAATGTTATAAGTAACATATCATTTAAAAGAGCACGATAAATAAAATGTGATAGTCAGTGTTCTATAAATTTTTAAATTATATCAAAAACCAATAGTGTCTTTTCTATTGTACAAAAAAACGTTTTGTTACTTTAAGTATAACAGACCAAAGGTGCTATCACCCCGTTGACTAAATACAAAAGATGTATTGTAAAAGTCAAAGGATAACGAATAACATTTACGTTGATTATTCAACACTACTTACTCGAAAAATTTGATCGTTTTATTTTGTCAAAATTACATAAAAACCATTCTTTTTATAGTGCAAAAATGATGACTATGCATTATCTATTGAAAATAGGATGATTAAACATATTTTTGTAGACCTTGTCTTTCAAAGTAAATATGTACACGAGAACAATAAAGAATCCATAATAGAGACGCCCATATAATTGATTCGCCACTCATCTGTTGTTGTGTTTATTAATAAAGCATCAGTCTTTTCTAATGTCAGCGTTATATGTCTGTTACATGACGGACCTGAAAGATTCAAGAATTCACAATTATAGTATTTGACAAAAGTATTTTTTTGTAAAGCATACATTTTCGCTCATTATAGATATTTTCTAGGACCGTTCGTTGTGATGAAAATGAAAATTAATTACACTAGATCTCGTTTCAAAACCACGTGTTCATATACTTGATTTGTCTCATCTGACCATGGTCAAGAAGGAAAAAAATCGAAGTGTGAAAATACTCGCACACAAGAGTGTAAAACAAAACAATGATTCAAGAAATTCTAAGATCTTGGTGCAAGAAGTCAAGAAATTACAAGATGTTCAAGATCTTGACTTGTTGAAATGCCTTGAATTCTTACATTTTCTTACCAAGATCTTGAATCAAGATCTTACTGAAAAAATTCAAGAAGTCAAGATCTGGTTACGAGAAGTTTCACTAGAGAAAACTTTCTAAATTAGAAGACCTTTTTGCTCAAAACTCATGAAAAGATATCAGCTTTTTCATTTTTTTAAATGAATCTCAGCCTTCTCATTTCTCTACTTGTGTTTATTCTCTATGTTTTCAATTGATTTAGTTGAAGATTCATTTCGCAAAACGTCGACTACTGAAGATACTATCACGTTATTTCTCAAAATATAACTTTTTTTAATTACTTAGGTATGAGAATAGAGAGACACATCTCTTAAGTTTAATTAAGGAGAGGGCCTATTAAATTTTGCATCTAATAAGGAGAGAAATGAAATATCAGAGTATTTTCTACGAACATGTTCTCTCTCATTTCGAATGATAAATCCTAAAACCTTTTTTTCTCATTCTATTAATTAGACACTCAGCTACACGCTAGTGAGCAGCTTTTTTGCAAACAGTTCAAGAATAACATCAGCATAGTGAAGTTATTCACAAATCGATGGATTTTACTAGTTCACACATATTCGAACTCGCTTTACAAAACTGCCTCGGTCATCTTCGAGTTCCATTATATGAGAATTTGCCACTGCGGGGTCTCGGTTCATCCTCGCGTTCCCGTCTTGAAGCAGGTTCTTAAAAAACTATGGTCAGATAGTGAGGATCGTTCCTCGTACGCCGATTCGCCTCGGAGTCCGAACTTCATGCGTCGTCTGCAAATTGTCCAGGAGAGGGATTCACGACGGCTGCATTTCAAACAAGTTTTTCATGTGATGAGCATATTGTAAACGCGCTGAATTTCCATGCGGAAACGGTGAATGTCGGTCATTTGAAACAAATCGTTTAAAAAGCTTATTGTTTTTGGCGTATTCAGATTATTGTCAAAATTCATTAACTCCGCACTACAATCAACATTGTTGGAATTATTCAAAAACATATAATAATCGTTCATATGCTATTGCTCATGTATGTAATGCTCAATGCATGTCAATGTATCGTGTTCGAGATGGCATCTATGATTGTATTGAAGAACATGTATCGGATGAAGATCGTGGTATTAATGGATCCTGTCTTTCTGTTAAACGTCATCGTTTTCATTGAAGTTGTGGTTTAAGTATGACCAGACCGACAGAAGAGAGAAAGGTGGCAAAACGCGAACAAATCTGAGCAGGGGAGAAGCGGGGTTTGAAAGATCGAGGACGTCCATAGGACTTCTTGAACGTTTCGTGATTTTTACGTTTTTTCGCCGTTTTGGGCATGGACCTTGCTCATCGAATTGAAATAGCCTGGTATACTGTGGATTCTTTTAGAAACTATTTACTCTAAAAGCTTATGAAACTGTCGTAGTGTAATTAGGGAATAGGGTAATAAAACATCAATCTACTAATGTCATTTTCCATCTCGGTTATCCTAGGTCTTTTGCTGTGTCGAATACATAACGTCATGTTCTTTTCTGACCAGTTTCTTTTTACTGATAGAAGCGATACATAGCCATAGCCGAGATTGCTTCTTTATACACTGCAGAAAGACAGGCGCCCACGGAACTGATGTAAAGGCAATGGAAGTGCAAACCGAATTCAGTGTTATTGTCGGACTTCGAAATAAGTGAAGAGTAGGAGATGCAAGGCCGGACTCTGAATTTCATTAGAAACAAATCCTTCTGCTTGTTCATGTAGGAGAGTTGAATTTCTTGTTTTAAAAATTTCATACCCATCAGACGGGTTATTACAGTATTTTCAAGTTACCAAAAACCCTAAAAACGAAAAATAAACGTTTTAAAAAAATATTCAAGAGGAGAATTTCCATTAAAATATTTTTCATGTAATTTTTATTTCTTTTGCAACTTTTTCATTCACCTGTAGCTGCATCGATTATCTACTTATATGTGAAGTCATTCTCAGCCTAAACGTTCTTCCAAGGTAGTAAAAATGACATCTGGTAGTTCCAGCGGACCTATTTTTCCGTATAGGTATTCCAATTTTTGCGATAGAGTAAGAAAATCCATTGTGATAGAAAACGATAATCGAGATATTGAACCTTATAATCCAATAATTATTATTACTTCCAGCATAACACGGTCGTTTGAACCTTTTAATCAAATGTTCGCATCATTGTCCACTCTAACAGGGGAAGAAGAGGAATAAAAACACCTTGACCTTTAATTATTGCATAAGTATTCAAAAATGGGCTTATTTAACACCAAAATGTAAGCGAATGAAAATACACAGTGCTATTTAGCGGTGTTAGCCGATTACTATATCGGCGGTGGCGTGTAAAATTGAAAACTTTATCATCGACGGCGGCGAAAAATTGAAAAAAATATTTCTGCCTTTGGGGGTGTTAATTAATATAGCCGTGATTCATACTGCATTCGATTCACCTTTACACGGACAAAAAAGGTACGGAGAGCTTTGCTTAAAAACTCCTTTCTATTGCTGAGAAAATTCATTTTTTCTAAATAAGATGCAAAAAATTCGCAATTGTGTCCGTAATTCTCAATTTTCTTTATCAGAACTCAAGTTTTATGCAACAAAACTACCATATTCGGAATCAGGATCCAAAACTGAGTCGATTGATGTATATTTCTATCCAACGTGACTACTTTAATTTTCTTCGATTTTTGTGTTGAAAACATTATCGAGATTTTCACAAAAAAATGAAAATAAGCTAAAAGTTTTGAAATACATACCAGTCAACTCACGAGGGAAGGTCACCAACTGCCACCTCGCTTTTTAGCTCTAAGCTAGTGGGTAATAGGTAAAAAAATGTGCTGAATCCGAATATGACAATGGTTTGGGCCGCTAGACCTCC